AATAAGCAGTATTTTGATACATAGAGAAGTCTAATTTTTTTCTATGATCATCTTTTTCATTTTTAAAGCTCTCATTTTTATTCCCGGCGTATAACTTGCGCCCGTAAGTTTCCATCTTATTTTTGTGTTAGTAATGCACGTTATACGCCAGATTTTACAGTATATATATGTATAAATATCATGTATTGGAATAATTCTTAGATTGACAGGACAAATGCAACGTGCAGCCGTTTATCATATTATATTTTATTTCAATATTCAGCAAAGCAGTCTACACTCCAAGCCATGACAAAACGAGACCTCTTTCAGCGTTGATCAGCAGCGAGTGAGTCGTTAGTACACGTGTCTCTTTTTAGTCCGATGAAAGTAGAAGTCAAAGTTCTTATGTGGGAGGTAGGTTGAGTTGTCCTGGTAGGAAGTTTACCCCAACAGACACTTGAAGAGCTGGGGATTCATCATATATATATATATATATATATATATATATATATATATATATATATATATATATATATATATATATATATATATATATATATATTACATCTATTGTGTCTTGTGAACTCCAATTTCTTCCTTATTTAGCATTGTAGGTTCTAGAACTTTTTCACTTCTATTTTATTATGCTATATATATATATATATATATATATTATAATAAAAAAAGTGAAGAAGTACTAGAACCCACAGTGCTAAAGAAGTAAGAAATTGTAATTCAGCTGACACAACAAATGTAGATACAAAAAAGTCATTGGACTAAACTGGAGACCTATTATGATTTCAAAAGCTGTCGCTGAATTAGGCCATCGAATTAGGGTTCAGCAATGCTTTGTGGATCCTCCCTTCCCCGTACAGCAGAAATTTTCGACATAACAGGAAAAAAACCAAGTTGAAAAGTTAAGCCTAATACAACACGTGGATGTAGAACCTAATAAATCGTAAAAAGATATTGAGAAAAGAGAACAATAATTAATCTAACAAGGAGAGGAATAATAATAAAAAAAACTATATAGAAAATTTTAGGAAAACTTACTTGTAAAACAAATATCCTGAGATGAAAAATACAATCTACTGCGATGATATCCTACGTGAAATGACATATAAATATAAATATAAATATAAATCTAAGATAATAAAAAAATTTAAACTAAACTCACTAAACCAAATACACTTAAAAGAAAAGTATGCTGCAAAACACTCAAAATAAAAAGATATATATATATATAAATATATATATATATATATATATATATATATATATATATATATATATATATATATATATATATATATATATAATCCAAAACATAAAATCCAATATATAAATATATATATAAACGAAAATATAATAATATACAGATAGTTATAAACCTAAGATAACTATAAATAGGAAGAAAATGACACAGTAGTATATTGACAAACTCCTAGCCTTAGGAACCAGGATTGCAGGTTTAAACCTGTTTTGGGGCTAGCCAACCTTCACCTGTAGTCTGTCATACTACGTACCAAGAGGAAACGAAAGAATTACATATGAGGAAATAAATATTAAAAAAATCATTAAACTAATAAAATAGGAACAAAAAATATAACCTACTATTACTGGCAGTGTAGATTTAATACAACGCTAACATAGATAATAGCTATACGTAGGTCGGGAGTGCAACAACTAGTTATGTGTTTCCCGCCAAATACAAGGGAATGAAAACAGATCCGCGTAAAATTAATTACGATAGGATATTAAGAAGTTTATATATATATAAAGGAGAAAAGCGACTCACTCAAAGACTAATCACGATATCTCCGGAACTATTAAACGTACAAACTTGAAATTTGGTATGTAGGTTCCCTTCATGGCGTAGACGTCAGCTAAGAACGGATTTTGCAAAGTTCGAACCTCAAGGTGCGTTACGAAGGTTTAAGGGGCGCTGTAGATAATTATTTCCTTTACTAAAGTATTAGATGTAAAAACGTGGAACTTGGTACAGAGATTTCTTTCATAAAGTAGAGATTCCCTACATATTGATTTTTACAAAAATCGACCTCCAAGGGGCGTTAAAGGGCGCTTAAGAGGCATTATATATAATTATTTCCATTTCTAAACTATTAGACGAACAGTCTTGAAATTTGATAAGCGGATCCCTTTCATAAAGTACAGATCCCCTACAGAATGGGTTTTGTGAAAATAGACCCCAAGTGGCGTTGTGCAGAATTAAGAGGCGTTATAGGCAATTAACTCTTTTTTTAAACTATTAGATGTAAAATCTTGAAATTGAGTTAGCAGATTCCATTCACTGAGTAGTGATCTGTCATAAGATGGGTTTTGTGTAAATCGTTTCCTAAGTGAAGTTGCGGGGTTAAGGGGCGTTATAGTAAATTATTTCCATTTTTATGTTCTTTTTATATCAAGGGGTGAGAGTGTAACAGCTATAAATATAGTTTTCAATACAATCGAATTCTTAATGCTAGATATCAATAATTAATGTATATGTAAACAGTATACATATATGCAACATCGTGAAATACCCAGTGAAGCTAGTGTGTAACGGCTAGTATATATATATGTGTGTGTGTGTGTGTGTGTGTGTGTGTGTGTGTGTGTGTGTGTGTGTGTGTGTGTGTGTGTGTGTGTGTGTGTGTGTGTGTGTGTGTGTGTGTGTGTGTGTGTGTGTGTGTGTGTGTGTGTGTGTGTGTGTGTGTGTGTGTGTGTGTGTGTGTGTGTGTGTGTGTGTGTGTGTGTGTGTGTGTGTGTGTGTGTGTGTGTGTGTGTGTGTGTGTGTGTGTGTGTGTGTGTGTGTGTGTGTGTGTGTGTGTGTGTGTGTGTGTGTGTGTGTGTGTGTGTGTGTGTGTGTGTGTGTGTGTGTGTGTGTGTGTGTGTGTGTGTGTGTGTGTGTGTGTGTGTGTGTGTGTGTGTGTGTGTGTGTGTGTGTGTGTGTGTGTGTGTGTGTGTGTGTGTGTGTGTGTGTGTGTGTGTGTGTGTGTGTGTGTGTGTGTGTGTGTGTGTGTGTGTGTGTGTGTGTGTGTGTGTGTGTGTGTGTGTGTGTGTGTGTGTGTGTGTGTGTGTGTGTGTGTGTGTGTGTGTGTGTGTGTGTGTGTGTGTGTGTGTGTGTGTGTGTGTGTGTGTGTGTGTGTGTGTGTGTGTGTGTGTGTGTGTGTGTGTGTGTGTGTGTGTGTGTGTGTGTGTGTGTGTGTGTGTGTGTGTGTGTGTGTGTGTGTGTGTGTGTGTGTGTGTATACTTTTAAAAAATCATAAAAAAATATTCATATTAATATTAGTGTAAATTATAAAAGATACACAAAAATATATTAATATTATTAAAAATTTATTAACAATTTATTAAGCATGTGGTGCCATCTATTTAATAATTGTAGAATTATTTAGAAATTCTAGAATTATTTAAAAAGTCTTTACAAAAAAACATAATGACAGTAATACAAATTGCATCATTAAAAACCATGATAAATATAATTGCAAAGAAAGTTAGCAGGATATCCATGTTCAATACAGTGATTAAAAATTTTTATTAAGATTTAAATAAATATTAGCTTTATCGCTAACAAATACATTATATGTATATATATATATATATATATATATATATAAATCGGATAAAATATAATTCCTATAAAAAAAATCATTCAGTATTTTTCTTAATTAAAATTTCAGCATATTATGGCAAAGTTGATGATTAAAAATTTATAAAAGAAAATTGGCCTAAGAAAGTCATTACTTAAATTTCTAGGATTTACTTTATGTGCTTTTCTTTATTTTTATAATTTTACGTGTACAAAGTTTACATTTATTTATAATTTTAAATATCCTATTAAATTTTCTCTTATTGAAATACTGCATCAATACAAAAATTAATACATACATTTTCTTTTATATTATTCGTGCATTTGAATATATGTGTTGTCCCTTTTGTACAATTGCCGAAAGGTGTATTTTGCTTCATATAAGTATAACATTTTTTAAAAATCATTCGTCTCTTCTTGCAGACTTTGAAATTTATTGACATAGTAATTCAAATTTCGCAGAAATCTAAGATAGACTGTCCATAATGCCTGAGGAATTGAATTTGTATTTTTAGAGGCCAAGTCTTTTCTTGGAAGTCATCAAAACTGAAGTGCTTTCTGGGAAATGGATCTCATATGTCCGGTACTTAAGATACCGTTCCTGAAATCCAACATCGCTAACGTGCCTTAAATTGTAAGAAACCTTTCTAGGAAAGATACAGCTTCGACGGATGTCTATCCTGCATTTTCCTTAAATCTAAAATTCGTATTTTTTGCTTTCTTAATGTTTATTTAGTTCTCTGTTTTCACGAATAAAATTGTGCTAGATATCTATTTTGTTATAAATGTTTTAAAAAGTTTTCTCGTTTTATTTTCGATTGGGAGGAAAAATATGTTTTATTTTCAAAATTATTATCAATCTGCTGCTTTTTTATTCTTGTTACATATTTTTTTCATTGATTCTAAAAAAAAATAATGATAATAACTGAGTATATACATCTTAAAAACAAAATACCTAGCGATGCTGAAACATATTTTTTCAATCTAAAATCATTCAATAAAAACTTTAATGAAAGAAGAAACATCATAGAGAAATTTTATTAACATTATGATTAAAATAAAAATTTAGGAATAAGAATGTCACATTAAGTGATGAAGATCAATAAAATGAACGGTGTTATTGTTCTAACCATGAACTTTTCACACACACACACAATTTCTACTATTATATTTCACACTTCTCATACATATAGTATATTGATTTACGTTGCGTATCTTGTGTTTTTAAAATTTTAATCATTTATAAAATAATTTTTATTCGTCCACTCAAGCTCAAATGCACTTTTTTAAACTTGTAGTGGATGACACTCCATATTAATACATTTTTTTTCAAATAATAATTCATTAATTCAATTTCATTAATGAATAAATAGTAATAAACAAAAATAATAGTCTAACACTACGTTTAAATAGGAGAATTGCTCAGGATGTCTCAGTAGCGCAATGGATAGCGCGTTGGTCTTCTAATCCAAGTATCATGGTTTCGAATCCTACCTGGGATAGCTTAAATTCTGAGAATATGATTTATGAATGAATATATAGCAACAAACATAAATAATAATCCAACACCCTGTATAGAAAGGAAAATGGAAAATCGTTTTCTATTCATCCACTTATAATAGTCGGAGTTTTTCATATATTAACTGTATATAATTATTTAATATAAGGTAAATATAAAATAAAATTTTTCTTTGTTGACTTAAGTAGGAATTGACTTAATTTTTTCTTTTATAACACTTGTGCTTAAAAATATTTTGAGGTTAAACATGAAATATTTCTTGCAATGAAGCTTTGAATTTTCCCCTTCAAAGGAATATAATTATTGATATTTTAAAATAATTATGAATGCGAATGATGTATAGATTTTCATGTTATCAATTTTCAAACCTACAAACACTTTATTGATGTAAATTTGAGATACACACCTTTCATTTTATAAAAAGAAAAATAATTTTAGAAAACCCCTCGTCCATTACTACCATTATATTCTAACTTGATTTTTAAAATAGACAAATTTTAAATATTTCAATGAACTGTTTAATTACAATAACTTAATTATCTTCATATTTACCTTGTTATTAAAGTAAGATTAGTGTAGCGATTATTAAATTGTTTTTAAATTAGCCCAACAATTCAATCTTCAAAAAATCACTTCATTCACATGTCAACATCAAATACGAATTTGGATTGTAAGTCGACGCCATATTTCTAAAAATTGTGTTCTCTTTTTATATAGGGTGTTTTTTTGAGGTATAGAAATTTAAATTGCAATAAAACAACGATGTATTATTCGATTGACATGAATTTTTTTTATTCGAAAGATAATCTTATGGCATTACATTTTAAATATGATTTCTGACATATGACTGCCACGGCTGGCTCGGATGTAGTCCAATCTGGACGTCCAATTTTCGATGACTTTTTCCAACATTTGTGGCCGTATATCGGCAATAACACGGGCGAATGTTGTCTTCCAAATGGTTAAGCGTTTGTGGCTTATCCACATAGACCCATGACTTTACATAGCCCCACAGAAAATAGTCTAGCGGTGTTAAATCACAGAATCTTGGAGGCCAATTCACAGGTCCAAAGTGTGAAATTAGGCGGTCACCAAACGTGTCTTTCAATAAATCTATTGTGGCACGATCTGTGTGACATTTTGCGCCGTCTTGTTAGAACCACAGCTTCTGGACATCATGATTTTTCAATTCAGGAATGAAAAAGTTAGTAATCATGGCTCTATACCGATCACCATTGACTGTAACGTTGTGGCATTCATCGTTTTTGACGAAGTACGGACCAATGATTCCACCAGCCCATAAAGCGCACCAAACAGTCAATTTTTCTGGATGTAACGGTGTTTCGACATACACTTGTGGATTAGCTTCACTCCAAATGCGGCAGTTTTGTTTGTTGACGTAGCCATTCAACCAGAAGTGAGCTTCATCGCGAAACAAAATTCACTTATGAAAATCGGGAACAACGGCAATCTCGTTTTGGGCCTATTCGGCGAATCTACGCCTTGCTTGATGATCGTTTTGATGAATTGCTAAACCAAACTGAGAATAAATTACTTGACAGCTGTTAAATCGGTCGCCATCTTGGAAAGTAATGCCAACTTAAACTTCTATACCTGGAAAAAAACACTCTTTATAATTAATTATATTTTTGCCCATCATAAAAAATTTTTCACAGAAAAAAAAATCACGATTGTGATAGGTACAAATTCTATTTCAATCTTAAGTCATGGGTTTCAGGGATGTTAAATTTCTCTAGAGGTCTGAAAATATAAACAATTTTATAAAAGGTGTAATTCTTTTAAATTTAAATTAAATTATTTTAATCTTTTACACATTATTTATAAAAAAATAGGGCTTCAGAAAAGCATAAAACTTTTAAAATATAATAATATTTTTAAAAATCCGAAGTATATGAAATTTCTATAATAAATATTAAGTATTTTTTCCGTTGCCCACGCTATTTTCTAAAATAGTTGCTTCTGATGTATAAAACTTTTTAGAATTATAAAATGCATCATACTCTTTAAACCCTACATAATTCTAGTATTATACATCTTTTCTATTTCAAAATATTTGTAAAAAAAGCAATATTTAAAATATTTTTTTAAAAATGCGCTTTATTTTATGTATTAAAATATGTAAGTTATTAATCTATTTTATATAAAAAGAGCTACAGTGTAATAGGAATACATCTAACTTTATAAATCAACTTATAGCATGTATGTAAAGCTACTGTTTCAGAAAATACCATACACGACTAAAACTTAATAAATATTTCTTATAGAAAAATTTCTTATTTTCATATGTTTATAATTTTTAAAATTATGATTATATTTGAAACATTTTAATTTTTTTCTGAAGTTCCATTCCTTTATAAATAATGTGTGAAAGATTTGAATTATTTAATTTAAATTTAAAAGAATTATACCTGTTTAAAAATTGTTTATATTTTCAGACCTCTAGAGAAATTTAACACCCCTGAGACCCTTATTATCTAAATTTCTTATTTAATATTTTGATACAATAAATGTAAATTGTCGCCATTAGTTACACAATACATTTTAAAAAAGGTATTGTATTTGTAAGTATCTGTCACAATGTATATAAAAACATAATTTTTTTAAATCATTATCAAATATCTTTTTTCTTATCTATTTAACAGCACATTAATTTCAAAGTATATTGCCAAAAGATTCTGATAAATTTTTCAACATACTATTGGAAAAATTCTCACCCCCAAGAAGACACTTTACCAGGTAAACTAAATTTAGGTGACGTAATCATGGGTCTGAAACAGGATGGCTATTCAAATTCCTTACCAGGCACACAAGTGTAGCACTAGTAACTCCACTATTAACCTACAAATCAGATTTGCTTTAAATACATGCTGAAAAGTTCGTGAGCAGTATTTATCATTGAAATTTGACGTAGTGAGTTAATGCTAGTCAAGAATGCTTTTTAAGAAAACAAAGAAGTCTTTATTCAGAGCTAACTCAGTTTGAATTAGGTCATGCTACAGGGCTGAGAGGAGGATTTTCTTTCCGTGCACTACAGAATGGCTTCCGAGGAATGTATCCAATGAGTGAGATTGTTGGTAGGGAAGGTACTGCCTCAAACGGATTGGGTGGCTACTTGACATTACTAAGAGGGGAGACCGAAGTACTCCACATATGACAGTGGAACCTTCTGCTGCGTCTGTAGCAAAAAGTCGAGCTAAATTTAGCAGCACAGTGACACAACGAACTGCTACAAATCGGTTATTTTAAGGAAATCTAAGAACCAGAAGCCTGTAGTGTATATTCCGCTGACTCAAAACCATTGCCATTTGTGACGTTAGTAGTGTCAAACAATAGTTCATCAGAGGACGGATTGGAAATACTCGTATATTGTGTTTTCTGATTAAAACCTGCTTTACCTTGGTGCCAGTAATGACCATGTGTTGGTTGGAAGACGATCTGATGAGCTTCTGCAGCCAACCTGCATGCGTCCTAAAACTACGGGGCTTACACCGGGGCTCCCTTATGTATGGGGAGCAATTTCTTAAGACAACAGGAGCGCTCTCTCTGGTTATCCCATGAATCTTGATTGAAAATTTGTATTCCAGTAAAGCGACTCAACCTGTTATGCTACCATTTATAAACAGCATGTAAAGGGAGGGGTGTTCTTCAAAAAGATGATATGTGCTCTCATACCGCTATTGTAACCAAACATTCACTACAAAATGTAGATGTGTTGCCTTGGTTGCAAAATCAACAAATTTGTCTCCAATCAAGCATCTACGTAATGTTATTGGATGATAACTCCAGTGATATCCATAACCATCATTGACAGTCACTGTATTGACCGATCAAGTGCAAGAGGCATGGAACTCCACCCCCATAAACAAACATCTGGCATCTGTATTATACAATACAAGCACGCTTTCAAATTTGTATTCCAAATTCTGATGGTTTCACCGACTATTAGCGTACCATTATTTCCTATTTGGAAAATTTCTCTTCTTGTATTTACAATAATCTGCGATCCCGAAACTTTAATCAATTAAATATTTTTCCTGGAACATATATTGCGGAATTTTCATTACTTTACAATAATTTTTTTCTTGGTATTATTTTTTTAGACACTCCATGCACTTTAAAGCTCTAATTTCTAGTTTGCAAAGAGTATTAAAAAATAAATACCCTTAACAATATATATATATATATATATATATATATATATATATATATATATATATATATATATATATATCAATGAATCTTTAAATTGAAAATAGTTATTTATATGAAATTGTGTACGGTTAGAGCACACAAATCTACGCCATGAAATTGATAAGAAAAAACAAATCTTTTTTAAATAACTATTTTGATGAAATTGACTCCAGTTTTGTTAATGTGCTTCTTATTAAAGTCTTTCAGGAATTTTCGCACTTACAATTTTGTTATAAACATTGCCATATAAGTAACTAAATATCTTTAATAATCTAGACATTGTAATTTTAGCACTAATATATTGTGACAAAAACACCTTATTGTTTTCCTCTGTAGAAATTGGTTATCAAGTATGAAATTCAGCGTTAGATTGGCATAGGCATTAATCAATGTCTCTGGAATGTTGTTTACAAATATCTTGAGCGAATGGAGGCGCCTTTATTTTTTTACAAACTTATTTCTTTTTAATCATTCCTTTGTCTTCTAATAAAAGACGAAAATTGATTAGTAGATGCGTGTATGAACGACTTTATGAAAAAAATATCAAATTCAGTTCTAGTTTTTAATCTCCTGCTTAATATTAAATTCACTTCAGTGAATAGCAATTGAGTTTATTGAAAAATTAATGCTAAAGAATAATACTTATTTCATGTCAATGAAATTATTTTGTGTTTATGTGCGCATAGTATTTTTCGATTAATGTGAAAAAAATATTATCAGTTTAAATTGGAGATAAAACTACCGAAATATTTTGTAGTGTTCCATTATTCC